ATGCCGCCGCCGGAAATCGCCTCACGGCGGCAGCCGGCGTCCAATGACGCCCAAACTAACACTGTAGAATCGCCTTCCTCCCCTCTTCCCAATCCCCCAAGCCTTTGCCCTCGAATCCCAATCAAACTCCTCAAATAGGTGAAACCCTAGGCACCGCCACCACCGTGCACGACGGCGCCCGTGTCCAAATCCCACCATATAAACACCCTAGTATCTCATCCGCCCCCACATCTCAAATATCCAAACCCTTTACCTCAAATCCGTCCAGAACTCGTCGAATTTGCAATCAAAAGTGACGGTCCAAACCCTAAGTTCCCCAAACCTCACCAAATTCACACCACGTGACCTCCACACTTCCCTCGTTCCTAATTCATCGGCAGTGATCTTCGAATCTCGCCCAAGACGCCCGAATGTTGAATCGAAGAGGCAGTAGAAATGTTCAAGTCAAGCAGTGAGTTCCTACTCGTTGAATTACATTTCCTATTAGAATTGATTTTGTTCTCGTAGTTTTTAATTTCTAGGTTAATTTTCGTTTTGATTTTGGTCACTTCTGTTCTGATTTTTGTGTTCTGATTTTGTGCTTGGTTCTGATTGTTTGTTTGTTCCGTTTAGATTCTAATTTGTTCTGATTTCTGGTTTTGGCTTGATTATTAGTTTAATTCTTTGTTAATCTGTTTTGATAAGTCTTTAATCGATCTTGTTTGTGCTTTGTTTAATCTTAATCTGTTTTCAGTCCCCCCTTATTGTTGTTATTAGCCGGTTTTAATTAGTTTAGTTTAGTTTAGTTTATGTTAATCAGTAATTGTTATTAGTACTTCTTTAGTTTAGTGCTTAGTTTTAATTAGTTGTTAGGTTTAGTTTAAATTGATTTGGTTATAGCTGATAGTCTTTAACTAGGATAAAAGGGGCTGGGGTTTTAGCTAGGCTAGTTCAGTAGTTTTGGATTGAATGAAGGGTAATTTAGGTATTCCTAAATAGAGGAAATGTGGTAGACGAAGCTAGAATACTCTAGATCCTTCTAGAAGAGGGTCTTAGTGTAAGTTTCAGCATTCTTAATGCAGTAACTTGGGAAACAAGCCAAAAATTTAGGGATTAATGTATGAAAACTGAAAATAAAAAGAGGGGGAAAAGGGTTAGTGCAATCTAGAAGCTTCCCTTTGATTTTCTGCCTATAAAAGGCACCCCCCCTGCCCTTGTTCAGGAGTTTTGGGGGACAGATCTGAAAAATTCCCAAAAAAAAAGTTTGGCATCTCTGAAAATTCCCCCAAAAGTTCCTACCAGTTTTGAGTCTCTGAAAATTTGAATTTCAAATTCAAAAGCAAAAATAGCAGAAAATCCCATAAAAATACTGTTCTTATCATATTTTTCTGAGTTCTTCACATTCGAAACAATTTCTGAGCATTCAAGGGTGTAAGAATGAATTGAATGTGGATTTGAAATCAAAGTTTGGAATCAAATTGCATCCTGCTTCTCTCTCCCTGGGTTTTGGCTGTGTGTGAGCTGTGTTGCTGTTGACTTAGTTGCTGTTTGTTTGCTATTACTGTTGATCCTACCTCCTTCTTTATTTTGTTTTACTTCCAGGTATGTTTGGCTTCAACTGATATGTGAGTAACAGAAACAGCGAGTGTTTTGGATTATTGAAGACATATTGCTCATGTTATGTACATGTCAATTTACTTGTATGCATGTTAAGTTGAGTATCAGACAATTTGAATATCCTTTGTTTGTATAAAACTGGACTGTATGCAATTTTTCAAACTTGCTGTAGTTGGTTTGGTTGGTTATTATATTAAATGTGAGGTCAAGTCATGTATATTTGCACAGATCCGTATCTCTTGTACTCCAACATAATTGATAGTTTAGTTTGTTCATTATGCACATGTTAAAAGTGAAGCTCAGGATAATTAAATTGCTGTTAGCTTTGAGATTTAGAACATCAAGGATAGTTTCATGGGTATTAACAGGAGTATCATGAGTATTAACAGGATTAAATTCGATTAGTTGAACTGATTTCATCATATAGCTGATAATCACTTTAGTTAACCATGGCTTCCTATAATTGTTTGTGTTAATTCATAGCTCAATAACTTCACGTGAATAATTGTTTAATTCTAGTTGATACTAATCCAGTGCTTCATGCACATCAAATCGAATCATGACAATAGTCTATAGTTTGATAGCTTAGTAGATTTTGTTTGAAGAAGTGATTAAGCAGGCCTGATATTAAGTTGGCATCGGGTCCTTGGGCTTATCACAGGCCCAGGCCGTCCAGTCTTTTGCAAAATAAAATCCGGGCTTGTTTTGAAAAACTGAAATGTCATTCCTTTCCCATTGGGTTGCTTCGAATAACTTGCTGAAACTTCATTTTTCTACTTACTTGAGTTGTTGGGTTTGGATGACTTAAAAACTGAATCATAGGTTTTGGGCCTTTGAGTTAAGTAGCACACTTGAATTAAGAGGTGTTTTCTCTTGTTCAAGTGTGGACTTGAACTTGAGGCCCGACTTCTTTGATTACTTTTAATAATAGCAATTAACAATACCAATTAACTAAGGCATTTTTAGAGACAATACTTAATAGAAAATCGTAGTTTGCTTTAAGTTGGCCCTTTAAAAATAAAACGAGGTGTTCTACGCCAAATGAAACCCATAAATTGCGTAGCCCTCTTAAATGCTTATATTAAAATACTTAGAATTCGGGACGTGCCGTTTAGCGAATTTTCACGGCCTCCCGCAAAGATAATAACACGCTAGTCGCTTTAGGCGCGCTTTTAATAATTTTACTTTCCTAAATAAGGGTGTGCATTTCATGCAACCCAAATCCAAATCCCAAAACGTTGAATAAAAATATGTCGAGGATCCGGGTGCATTTCATGTGACGTGATCCAAAAACATATTTTTAAACGACGTTCACTTTCTTAAAAAAATTTAACTAAAAGCGGTAAGTAATTTTTAAAATTGCACAATAGGATAACATGTATTAAAATCAAATTTTAGCCAAATATAGCAGTTGAGCGACCGTGCTAGAACCACGGAACTCGGGAGTGCCTAATCCCTTCTCCCGGGTTAACAGAATTCCTCACCCGGATTTCTGGTTCGCGACTGTTAAACAGAGTCAAACCCTTTCCTCGATTCGGGATTCAAACCGGTGACTTGGGACACCACAAATCTCCCAAGTGGCGACTCTGAACCTCTTAATAAATGAATCCCGTTTCGATTGTCCTTTAATTGGAAAAACTCCTTTTATTATACCCTTTACGGGGTGTAGTAGCGAAAAAGGAGGTGTGACAGCTCTGGCGACTCTGCTGGGAACAGAACCCAGAACTGCGGTTCAGGGTTCAAGAATTCGAGCTTAGATTAAATTGTTATATTTGGCTTTATCTGATTTTCTTACATGTTCCATGCTATATGTGCTAAATGTTTTACCGCTTTGATATTTGTTGAATTGTATATAAACTGTTACGAATCCCTTCCTCTCTCTGAGTCTTCTACATCATGGAGAAGGGTGCACTTCGTGTAGCTTCTCTTCTGTTTAGAGTCTTTTCCCATTTAGAACGAGGTTTGGATAAGTGGCTAAGCCGGCGGAGCTTCTGTATCCCCGGTACACTGCCTCCCCCTCGGCCCGAGTTGTCCGCTCGGGTAAGCCAGGTCTAGACCAATAAACCTAGAGTTTAAACCTAGAAGAACAAAACCTCATGCCGGATCCCTATTAGGAACGTTTGTTTGCATCATGTGCATTTGACTTAGGGGACTCAACATAGGGGTTGGGTCCGTCTAGGACAGGTGTTGACATGTGATTTTTGACCCTCCCCGAAATTTTACCCATTTTAGCATGTAAATATTTAGTTTAGGCCTAATATCGCCATTTCAACTAATTTTTATTATTTTACTTTATTTTATTACAAGAAATTAAAAAATTACAACAAAAACAGGTTTATTAATATTTTATAGTCATTTTTAATCTTAAAAAAAAAAATTACCAAAATAGTACCCTATCTTTATTTTTATAATCTTGAAAACACAAAAAAAAAAGTAATTTTATGTTTTATAGTTTAGTTCAATTAAATAAAATTAGTCTTAAATTTTTATATTATAATTGTGCATAATTTTAGAAGAAAGAATTAGTTTTAGGTTGGTTTATCCCGTTTTTATAAATCTTATAGTCCATTTTTTAGTCTTTGGCCCAAAATCCCTAGCCCATAGTTCCTAGGCCCATACCCCTAACATAATCCCTACCCTATATAATACTACCTACACCACAAACACACCATATACACATACAAAAAAAAATGACGCCTGAAACCTAGCAAAGGAGGTTGCGCCGATACAAAAGAACCCCACCCCAAACGACCCCTGCTTCTTCACCATTTTAGCGGCTTGAGACCTCACCAACGAGCTCTCCCTCTAAAACAAAGTCAGCGGCAACTGGCGTTCCCAGTTCTGCCATAAACGACTACCCAAAATTCCATCGTCTCTTTCACTTGGAGAAGACTTAGAGCAGCCATGAACAAGGGACCTTAGGCCAGCCTTGTCCGAGTTCTCCACAGTAGCCAGCAGCCTTTACACCTAAACACCCTTCCCCATCGATCCTCTTCATCAACGACCAAACACCTCAAACCAGCGATTCCATCCGCCGCCGCTGCCATCTCCGGCAAGCTGGCCGGCGAGTCGTCGAGCTTCAACACCTCCATAATCACCATAGGAACCCATCAACCAAGAGCTCCTTCAATATTTTTTTTCTGGCAAGTCTCAAGTTTCCGATTGAGTTTGAATTCCGCTCGAGTTCGTCGTCGTTGGTTAGTCGTTGTTCAGGGTTTCCGATTTGGTTCGCGT